TTGTTTCTTGCAGCAGTTTACATTGATATTAAGCATGCTAACAGCGACTGAAGACAAGGTTGTTTTTTAATAAAATTTTATTTATATATATTTATTTAAATTTAAAAAATACATATTCCAAACAATACCTTAAAAAATAGAAACAAACAGTTTTAATAGGAAAATTAGGGAAGTATTGGAAATACAACACAAGGAAAGTATCTTTCGCGACAATGGTCTTAATCGGGATGATGGCAATTATGTGACAACATCATTTTGGAAACCCATGTTTAAATTCTTATGTCACAAAAAACTCCCTTAAACAAACTCTTAATAAGAAGCTCTTACAAAGAACATTGTTTCATAAATGTAAACGATTTTGTATAATATAGCAGTTTTATTTTTCATAACCAAACCCTCAGTTAATGTAGCAGCACTCCTTTGCGAGTCAGGTTATTTGTCAGTCGATGTAGCAGCACTCTGTTATGAGTCAGGCTATAAGATAGTTAATGTAGCAGCACTTGCGCATGATTTACAGTAAAAAATAAATGAAAACATTTTAATTAAAAAATAAAAATAAAAACATTGTTTATTTTTGTAAAAACATTCGGAATGTTTTTAAAAACATTCTGGTAAATTAAATTTGCATTTTTCTAGTTTTTTAAAAAAGTGATTAAATTAATGGTTTTAACTTTATGACAACATGGAAATGTTGAATGAAAGTCAAAAGTAATTAAAAGTGACAAATTTTGTTGTCTAAAGAATCATTTATTACCTTCCGTACTCTCAAAGCCGACAATTTATAGAAATATATATATATATATATATATATATATATATATATATATATATATATATATATATATATATATATATATGTATATATATATATATATATATATATATATATATATATACATATATATATATATACATATATCTTATACTGCTGAGTTAGGTCAGCATGATGATGTCATACTCACCTAACGTCAAATAGCCTGCTGCCGGGGGCTTCAGTACATACATCGACTGACAAATAGCCTGACTCGCAGTGGAGTGCTGCTACATCGACTGAGGGTTTGGTATGGGTCAGCAACATTTTCATTCATTATTCTTCGTTTTCCTTCATCGTTTTCTAAAAACGCTTACTTAATTTAGGCAAGCAAAAAAAGTGAGCAATTGCACATATAAATATATTATAGTAGATTACGGTTTTGAGTTATTACACCCGTGCCATTCAGTAAGTGATAAGGGTACTATGGTACAAATATTAAGCTTCAACAACCAATCGAAGATGCATTTGGTTAAAAATCATGACAATAAATAAATATCATGAACTATTGTATGTTTTCAAACTTTCAAATTCAGATTTCTCAAAACAATGGTTAGTGGACGTAATCCCTTTGTGCTCTTAACCATCGATATATATATCAGGCCTTGCGATAAAGCGTCGGGCGATGTGAATTTTACGTCGTCCAAGGGCGATTTTGCGTGTAGCTAGGGCTATTTGCGTCGAGCAAAAAATTTTTTGTTTGAGTATATTTAAAGATATTTTTGAGCGGAATTTTAATGAAGTAATTTACGATTATTTTAACATTTAATAAAGTATTTTAAAAACCGCACGCAGTTGAAATAAAAGTTTGAATTTAAAAAAATTAAATATGCTCATTATTTACAAGTAGAAAAAATTCAAAAATTAAAAAAAAAGTTTAAATCTTTTAAGCTAACATTTTAATAAAATTATTCAGCAATAGCAACGTTGTCGATAAAATTGAACAAAAATACTTTCTTTTAGTTTTAGATTTTAAACTTAAATAATTATTTTACAGGGGTTTGATAGGTTTTAAAATTATTCCATAGATTTAAAAATATTTATTAACTGTTAGACGTATTTAAAGTATTTAAGAGTGATTTCGAGGAAACATTTTAAAAATTGGTGAGGGCAAATAAAAAAAAAAAAGATTAATATTAAAACGTATTCTACTTGATTCAATAAAAAAGTACAGTTATTAAATTTTTGTAAAAAGTAACTCAAAAAAATTACTTAAATAATAACGATCGCTTTTATGTTAAAAGTTACCGAAACTCATCGAAGCGTGCTCAAGAACAGCTGCTGAAAAATAGAACGTCAATAGTTTTTCGAATAATTTTTAAGAATAATTTTTAAGAATAATTTTTTCGCTGAAATATTTCTTTTATACCTATAAGATTTTTATTCTAACATTTTATTTTATTTTACTAGAAATAAAATTCCTTGTTAGCATTAAAAATCTATTCAAAACGTTCGTTTAAGTTTTTTATTAATACGAGTGATTGTGCTTATCAACCGCTTTATGAAAATAAATAAAAATAAATAAATAAATATTATATAAAATCGCTTGTAAAAATATTAGCTATTGCACAGTTTTTAATCGTACAATATTAAAACTTCCAGTTTATTACTCGCTGACTTTTTAAAAAGAAAAAATAATTATTTGAAAAACTTTAAATTACATATTTAAGAAAAAAAAAATCAAATATTAGCATATTTTATAATCTTTTTTAAATTTAAGTTATAATGTTTTTTATTCGTTTAGTATAGACAAAACGTGACAAACGCCGAGAAAATAAACAAATGTTTTTACATTTTAAAAAACGAAACATTCCAAAACATTTTTAAATAATAACATTTCTACATAAACGATTTAAAGTAGTTTTGCGGTAATTAAATAAATTGGTGCAGTTAATGTCGATAAATATGAAAAGCAAATAAAAAGAATTTAATGACGTCAAAAATCACGTCGTGCTTATGCGTCGCGCAGTTCTTATTCATCGCAAGGCCTGATATATATATATATATATATATATATATATATATATATATATATATATATATATATATATATATATATATATATATATATATATATATATATATATATATATATCAGGCTTGGTCAGGAAGCGGGAGCGATCGCTCTTGATTGCTGACCACGGAAATAATATTTAGTAGCGAAAAGCTGGCCAGATTTTATAGTCGCTTTGAGAACATTTGAAAAAAACAAAAAAAAAATGCAAAGATTGTTTGGACCAATGAGAGACAATTACAAAAAAAAAAAAATAGGAAAATAAAATATCTTTTAACGCAAAAAGACTTAAAGGAAAATAAATTACGTTTAAAACAAATATTTTCGAAACATCGCTCTTTTATAATTTTTTTATAAAATTAAGCGACGTTTTTTATATTAAGTAACATTTTACTTTTACTTAAAAATGTTCTTTATTTATCAAAGTTTGCAAGTTTTAGTTTTATCTGAGCTAAATTATTTTATAAATAAAAAAGTTAATTTGTTTAATACCTATTCTATGTTTCGCGTAGTTTGAAAAGTTTAACATATTTGAAACAATTCTTCTTAGTAAGAAAAACAAATGAAATAATTAAATCATTGAATTACTAAAGAAATTAAATTTACTAGATAGAAATCAACTAAAAAAATTAAAAATACTTTTATGACGAGGAGGCGAAACTGCTTCATAATATCGCTAATGATGTTTAGTGAGTGGGCTTATTAATTTTAATTAGTATATAAAGCAGAAAAAAGTATAACGAGTTTTTAAGAATGGCAACTTAATTGAAAATAATTCGATTTAGATATTTACCAATATCTAGAAAATAATAGTTTATAAGATTTACGGCTAAGTGATTACGGTAAGCAGATGTGGCTCCGAGAATGAGCGATAGAATTAATAATATATTCTTGTAACAATTTGCCTCTGTATGGCAACTAGCCAAAGGAGGATAAACCACAATACCTATTCTTATAACAATCTATGCTAGAAATCTCAAAACGTAACAAATCATGAATAAAACAATTTCTACAACATTTCAACATAATACTCTAGAACTTATTTGGTTTAGTCAGTGTATTTTTTAACCAATAAAATTAGTTTGTTCGTCAATTTGGCAGATTTTTAGAGTTCACAAATATTCTTTTCATTCTTTCGCACCAAGATGTTTTGAGAACATTCAAGTTTTTTATGTTTCCATGTTTATCCATAAAACCAAAATTTATTGTTTCGTACGAAAAATTAAATGTTCTCAAAACAACTAAAAAACCTGCTGTTAAAAAATATGCTGGCCAGATCTATAAAATGCGGGTCTTGTCAAGTCTATTCGAGACTGATCATTTCTATAATTATTCCTTATTTACTTCAATATTTTTTACTTAACGGTAGAAAAATAATTCATTTAAAAATTGCTTATAGATCAAAAAATATTATTATGCGCACTTTTATTGCATACTTTGGACATATTAGAACCCTCAACCTGTTTATTCATTTTAAAAAACCAAGTCTGAATTTAATATTTTCCTGAAAGAAATTTGTCTTTTTACAGCATTAGATGAAAAAAACTACTTAATTGATTATATAAACACATAAGTATCTCTTACAAAGATGATAATTGTGTAACATATCTCCAAGTGTTTTTTGAAATTTAAAGCTTTAATAAAATTTTAACTCTATATTTATTTTAGAATATTTTTAATTACAACAGATGGTCAGAGTTTAATGATTGACATCCTTTAGTGGACTCCATGACATCCTTGATTACAAACAAAAAGACTATTTTATACCAAAAATTTGAAAATAGGGAAACTTTAATAATAATTTTTAATAATTAATAATTTTAATAATTAATTAATAAAAGGTAATCATTTTTTGAAAAGTGAAAGTTTAACTACATTTTTGCAAAGTTTAAATTATTTAAAATGTTTATAGTTAAATATGGGTAGAAAACAATTTATAGAATTTTATTGAAATTACTAAAATGTTGTATTGTTAAATATCTAAAAATCTAATGTAAGACAAAAACTCAAAAACCAATTTAAAGACTTATAGAGCAACAATCTACTTCGCCCCTGATGGGAAATCTATGCGACCTCAGAATATTTGTTTAGAAATTCTAACTTTCTTAAATAGCCAAATCGAATGTAAAAAAAAAAAATTTAACTTAAAATATAGATATGTAAATAAAAACTTACCAATTAAGTTAGGCACAAAGAGATATATATTTTCACTGGCCATTATGAATATATAATATTCTTAATTCTAAAAAAATTAAAAAGATAGTAAACAAATTGTTAAAATTTGATTTACAAGATTCTGGAACAAAATACAAAACTTATGTATTTAAATATAACTTATAGATAACAAAAATATTTGAAAAAAAAATGACTAAATTCTATATATTTTAGATATAAAATATACACAAATATATATAAATAACATATTTATGCATGACATACGTATGCAATAACAATATGTAATAAAACAACTGTTCTAGTTTTGTCCAAAATATATTTATTCATATTGTGCCATTTTAACCAAATAGTTTTTAGGATGAAAACTAAAAGGTTTTTTAATTTTATAAATTTGACTTTTATAACTCTCTCACTCTCTCTCTCTCTCTCTCTCTCTCTCTCTCTCTCTCTCTCTCTCTCTATATATATATATATATATATATATATATATATATATATATATATATATATATATATATATATATATATATATATATATATATATATATATATATATATATATATATATATATATATATATATATATATATATATATATATATATATGAACTTAAAAAAAAAAAAAAGAAAGGAAGATATATATACACATATATATATATATATATATATATATATATATATATATATATATATATATATATATATATATATATATATATATATATATATATATATATAAGTTTTGTACCAAATAGTTTTCTTTTAGTTTTACCATAATCAAATAAATTATTTTTCAGTTTTTATTTTAACTATTTGTAACTACTTCTCTCAATCAAACTTTTTACATAATAAAAATGAAAATAAAAAATGCTAATTTATGCATTTACTCTTTTTTACCCTTTTTTTTTTTTTATTGCAATACGTTAAAGTTATTCTTAAAACATGTTTTAATAAAAATTTTATAGTATAAAATTTTTTGTTACGTCTTTTAAAAAATTCTCTTTCCAAATTTATATTAATGGTACATTAATCACTAGTTTGCTATCTTCTTGTTAATCAACATGAATTTGTAGCGTTATAAAATTGTAATGTTATAAAATGTATTTAAAAAGTTCAAGATCGAGTTGATGCATTGTGATCTAGGATATGTAGCCTCTATAATTGTATTGAATATCATATATTTACTAGTGACTTAAAGAGTCGAGTTGAAAGAGTTGATCCTAATGAGCATTAATTAAGTCTCATTAGGATTTGGCTAGCACCTACTTTTGTAAATAATTTTTATAACTTGATGATTACATAATTCGATTTTAGAAACTAATGTTTAGTTTTTACAACAGGAAAATTAAAATTTTCGAACGATATTTTTAAACAGAACCAAACGGCTGCGGAGTTTTCGAAAGTTGGTTGAAAAACTTAAAGAAAATAGCGTTTAAAAAAACATCTTTGAAGTTACAAACAATTGACTTCATTTTATTTAAAACAGATGTTTTACATAATATAAAGTAATGCAAGTATTTTTTTTTAAAAAAACTTTATAGGCTGTTTTTATAAAATGTTGTTACTTAAGTGAGACCAGCTATAGTGTCGATTACTAAGTTCGGTGAATTTTGATTTTTTGAACTTGAGAAATCAAATCTGAAGCTGTCAAAAATGTCGAAAAAAAAAGCTATCGATTTCGAATTTAAATCAAATTCAAATTTTAAATTCAAATTTAGTCTAATTTTGTCAAAAATGTGAATAAATTTGAATTTAAGATACTAAAAAAAAAATGTTCATTCATTTTCATTTTACACATTTTTAACATCGTGTTAAAGACCCGCACAATTTAAAACGTTACCAAAAATATTTATCTATTTGCGCTTTGAAAACATTCAACGATCTTGCTTTTTTTTGAATTCATTTGGTAACAAATTCCAATAATTACAAATTCCGATTGTGAAAAAGTTGTATATCGGTAAACACGATAGTAAAGTACTATTCTCTTTCTAACCTGTCCCAACTAGCACACTTACGTTAGGCCAACTTATGTAAACCATCGCAAATGTCGGCTGTATTTTCCAATTCAAAACCAACGTTGATCCAATATCATTTGTTTAATGATGAAAATAATACCGACGGAACTAAAAACAGCTGGCACATTTACATTGGTCCAACGTTTGTAAAAACATCGCAAAATGTTGATTGTTTTTACGTGTAAACCCAACGTTAATCCAATGCTATAAACCCGATGTTAATTTAATTTGTACAAACCAAAGTTTAATTAAAATCTAGAAATATGGCAAAAAGTTGAATATTTTTTTGATCTAAACCCAACGATCCAATGTATATAACCCAACGTTGATTCAATATATATAAATCAACGTTGATCCAATGTATGTAAAAACATCGCCAAATAAATCAACGTTGATCCAATGTATGTAAAAACATCGCAAAAGTTTGATTTTCTTAAAAATCTAAACCCAATGTTGATCCAATGTAATTAACCCGTCGTTGATTTAATGTGTATAAACCAACGTTGATTTAATATATATATATATATATATATATATATATATATATATATATATATATATATATATATATATATATATATATATATATATATATATATATATATATATATATATATATATATATATATATATATATATAATATATATATATATATATATATATATATATATATATATATATATATATATATATATATATATATATATATATATATACATTAAATCAACGTTGATCCATATGTAAACCACACGGGTAAAACCACAGATGTCACATTTTTCTCATTTTGAGAAAAATGAAATTTAGTGTTTAGTGACATTAAATATCTGTTTGTTAATAATGTGTTTAATTAAAAGCAGGGCTCAAGTTGTGGCTAAGGAACAAGTGGAACTATAAACAGGCAACAAAGATGGTGAGCGTGAGCATGCCTATCCTGTTGTGGGAGGCCCTGGCCCCACAAATGAAGTGGTGGGCCTAACGATTTATAAACATTAATGAGCTCAATGTATTAACTTGTAAGCATGACCTTACTGATGTCATTATATTGTTCATAGCACTAAATCCCCGTTCACAATCTGCTGTTGTTACAGCTATAGCAGAAACCGCATTCAGAAGTTGTTGCAGTTGATCTAGAGGATTTTCGGGTAACTCTTGAACTTGACATTGGTCAATATAGGTTTTAAGTCCAACGGCAGACTCGGAAAAGTTAATGGCAAATTAATTCTGCTATATGGTAACATTTTTTACCACTGTCGGCACTATGAAGAGTTCTGCCTATATGCAGACCATTTAATGTTTGTAATTCTATATCTAAATAGGAATCGATGAAAGGGCGGCCCAGTTTTGCATTTTTATAAGCTGTACGCATAACCTTTTCATTAGTTTCAATGGCAACATCAGTCATTTTGGAAAAATTCTTCTGTAGCTGATTACAATCAGCACTTTTAAGAATTTGCTCTGCTCTTATATGAGCAAATGTTGTCTTATGTTCACAATTTTTTTTGCGTAATGACTGCAATTGCTTTGCATTGTTTTCTCCATAAGCTTTAACAGATACAGTGATCCATTCTTGTGATAAATGAATATGTTTGGATGAAAAACCAGTAAAATTACCTACTTCCCTACAAACTTTACAACCTATAGCACCCTTGCAAGTTTCAATTCAAGGATAAAGTTTTTTTTTCTTTATGAATGTTGAAGCAGTTCAGCACTTTGGAAGATTAGTATCACCTTCAATATTAAATACTTCTTCATTCACTTCTTCTTCATCATGTTCCCTTTACATATAAAAAGCAATATTTCTAAGTAAAGCACTAAATTTCATACTGAAAACATATTCTCATACACCTCCTCATTATTATTGCAGAACACATGTATAATAACTGGACTTACATTGGCATTGAACATGACGTGGCTTGTGCTGTATTGGTATGGAGATAACTACAGGTATCAGGCAGTGAACAACATCTACTGCTACTTGATTGTAGACTGGATCAACTGGCACTGGTATTTTCAGATCCACTGCCAGAACTGGATAAGCTGCCACAGGTATGTTTTAATCCACTGCTGTCACTAGACTGTGAAGTTGATAAACTGTCACTGGTTTTAATGCTAGATTCTGTGATCTGGTTTAATTTAGGTCCACTAAACATAGAAGCAATACAATTAACCAAGCTTAACTTGGCAATATATAGGCTTTATATAGATTATTTTGTAGTCTATTAAACTTAAACAATGTTTATTATAGTGGTAATCGGTACGGACAAATACCGTTTATTGTTAGGTTATACCTGTGCGGGAGCAAGTAGGTGAATTTGCATTACAAACACCAAACTGGCTTATTTGTTGTTAATAATTGTTGTTTGACTTACCCTGCAGTTTTAAAAAACTGTTTTCATTTTGTTTGAGTCGACTTCATCGTGCGTGCTAAAAATAACATTAGGAAATAATAAACGAACAAAAGTTCTTTTACAGCTTTATTCACTTTAAGGTGGCGCAAAACTGAAAGCAGGGTTTTTCTTAATTATTATAAATTTTAATAACTTCTTTTGAGGAAAAAAAACTTATATAAAAATTAAATAAAAAAAAGCATAAAAATTTTTTTTGTTAATAAAAAATTTCATAATGGCTGAAAATACATTGTAAAAGCTGTGTTTTAAGCAAAACTTCAAAACCTGATTACTTGATTTTGCCATTATAACTCAAACTAAAATTTTGTACATAGTTTCCTAAGCATATTTTATCCTGCTTGACCGTGGGAATTTTTGTTATTTAAATTTTTTCAAAAATTATTGCATTTTTAACAAAAATTACTTTACATTTATATAAAATATCAATAGTTTTACCACTTTAAATTACAATATTTCATTTTTTATAGCTTTGCATTAAAAATCTGAGAGTCAAAATAAATATTATTTTGTAATAAACAAGTCCTGAAAATTTTATAGTTAGGCAAAGTTCGGTTAATGAGAAAAAGTGTTTCAAAGTTTCAAAAAAGACATATTGCTAAAAAATTAAAAAATAACATAAAAATTATCAAAATACCAGGAATGTAACTATTAATTGTGTCTTTGACTTGTGGATCATCCGTGAAACCTTTTTTAACTGTACTTAGTTTTTTTTCTTTGCATTTTAGTTTTAACCATAGTTTTATATATAAAGTTTTGACTTTGACACTTCATATGTTATATTCCGGTTTTGTCAATTTTACACGATGAAGCTAATGTGACAATTCCATTCAGTCCAAAGTACTTTAAAACTTGTACATCATTAGCACCATCATTATATTGTAGCTTTGCTGAGTATGTTCCCATTTCGATTGTAGACTTACTAACAAATGTGTGCTTTGGTATGCAAGATTATATAATGGGATTTAAAGCTTGATTTGCATTTTGTGTTACACCGTGCAAACATTTAATTAGAAGATTATCAGCTTGAAGATCTTCGATGATTGGTAAAAAAAGATTTTTAATCCAAAGGTATTCACGATTTTAGTTTATAATTTTTATGATTGAGAGCAAATATTTGCACCAACTTTTCAATTCTCTTGGGCAAAACTGATGTTGCATTTGCAGGTTGCATGGGGTAGTACCCATAAAAATAAATTAAAGCCACTTTAGTGTCAGCAGAAGCATATTGCACGTCTTATAAATTTCAAAAATCGTTTTACTCACTCAAGGCCACTCTTATTTAACATGAATGTTTTTAATATATATAAAGTAAATGTTTATAATGTTCTTTGTTTTATGTTAAAACCAACTCATCTCCAGCTTCCTTTTTTAATTTATATTCTTTAAAAGAAAAAAATTAATATTCTTTAAAAAATGATAATTTTATTAAACAACCAAAATTTCAAAAAAACTTTGGTAAATTTTGCATTTCTCTTCGTGGAGTTTTTTTATGGAATCAAATAATTTTAAAAAATTTTAATTTTTCTCATGAATGGAATTATTATATGTTCAAAAAAAAATTAAAAAAAGTAATTTTCTTAATTGAATATATATTTTTATACTTTATGTGAGAAACTATATTTAAATACCATTATTTGAATTTTGTTAAAAACTGCACTGACATTATTTGTACAGTAGTCTATTATTATTTACATGCTTACTTTAATTTTTATTTTAATTCGTAATATTTGTAAATAAATTGTCTTACGAACGGTATATACTTTTATTATTAAATTTAATTTTGTAATTGCATCAAGAATCAGGGTTGTCTATTCGAAAATAAATTCAGCATCAAGTTCTCTGACTGGTAACATTTTGTAAAGAAATTTTGGTCAATTAAACAATGTTACAACCAAAAAGCTCAGTTCTGTGTTTGCTAGTAGATGAGGTTTGTTAAGTGATTTTCCAAATACTATGCCACCATGTTATTGTAACACGGATTTAACATAAATCTCATCAAGAAGTAAAATGCATGTTTTTTGTCTTTCATCTTTAAGGTTAGAAAAAATATGTTTGATGTAAGTGGTATCTAAAGACTTACATTTAGATGTTATTCTTCCTAAAGTACGTAAACTTGGAAGTTCAAAATCCTCTCTGATGCGACTGTAGGCTGATCGTGAAAGGCAAAAATAATCAAATGCTCGCACAATTGTTTCAATTGAATACTTTTTTTCTCCAATGCATGTTTTATTCATTGACAAAATTTGTTGATGTAAAACTTCTTTTTTGTGTTATTTCACAACAATTTAAAAATCTTAATGCTTCTTGGATATAAGAACATTTGTTCAAAATATAAACTCTGTTGGATGACAAAGTCATAACGCTGCATTTAACTCCACAATGGAATGCTGCAAAAGTGAAATCTTTATTTAGGCAAAGAAAAAATCTAGGAATAGCACTTTCCATTAAAAATCTGAAAACTGTATATATAATACATCATTGCATAAGTAATTGATAATAGCAAAATTAAATTCATTAGCTTTTAATTTTTCATATAAAACATTTACACTTTCTATCTTTTCGTGAGAATTAAGTATTGCTAACTCATTCTCTTCTTTTCAGCGAACACTATTAAGACGTTTTGATGCTTTTATAAGTGGCACGGGTACAGTTGGGACTAAACTTGGCTTTATGCGACTAAATACTTATGGAGCATCACGAGGTCTCAGCTTCCCATAATCATTAAAAGTTAAATAACCTTTTGGCCAATGTCTTTCCCATACTACGGTGTTATTAGTATTAGGAATATTATCTCTTGGTTTTATAGCAATCCAACGTTTTCGTTCTTCAATGTTTCTTGGAAGTCGAAATGTTTTAACTCTATTCTGAGGATTATAATAACCATTGCAATTTGTTACACAATATCGACGAACCATTTTTAGAATACTTATATAGATACTTCGCCTTATCATTCTTTTCTAAACTGATTCATTTCATTTAAAACTTGAAAGTTGGTTTGAATACTGACGGGTGTTTTGTAATCGTAAATTTTATGCAAACTTTGAACTGATACGTTTATGTGTATTTTTATTTAACTTAAACTATATTATTTAAAATATAATATATAAAAATTAATTAATTAGTTTTATTTTAGTTAAAAATTTATTTTATATAATTACTATTACAAAAAACTACCCCTGTATTTATTTTGTATAACTGTTTTTGAGAATTCTTAGTTTTTTAAATAAAAAACTATCTTGTCTCCAGTTTTTTACGCAAGTTGCCTGTTATTTAGTAAGCCATGGCTTTACCGCGTTTTAAGTACGTATCCTGTTTATTAAACCTGTTTATTAAACCCTACTGGGTTATTCGGAGAAAATTAAATTACTTGGCGCGTAAAAATAAAATAAACTGTTTTCGTTACATCCGTATCCGAAAAGTTCGTAAATCATAGCAAGTGGGAGAAAATCAATCAAAAATATCGCCGTGAACGTTAACTTAACTAAATGCTCACTTATTTATGGAAAACTAAAGCCTTCACTATTTATAAACTTTACAAAGTATAAAGCAAAGCATGAGCTTTTCCTTAATGTTTTTAGTCAAATGACAATTTATTTGTTTTAATGACTTATAAAAGAGTCCTTACGAGATCGATATCGTGTACCATTTTTATGAACTTTTTTTTCAATTTATTACTAAAAACAAAATTGGTTCTTACTACAAAACAACTCAAAAAAATTTATAATACTTTATTAATGGATGTTAAAATAAACTATTTAATATATAAATTACTAAAAAAATTATAAAGTAAACTTCTCCCCTACTTTGTTTCAAATTCAATTAATTCTAAAATTAGTTAATATATAAATGCTTCAGTTAAATTATAATATTTTATTATACTTTTCAACTCTTGTGACACCTGTTTAAAATTTGTTTATTGTTTATCTTTCTAACTTCTATATAATCTGGCAGCATGACTATTTAAACGGGGCTTGATGATAAGACAATTTGTCTTCTTTCATTGGCATTTTAAACGTTCATATTTCCTCTAATTGTAAACACTATTATACAACTAAATAGAATATAAATAAATAATGTATTGCTAACAAACAACAATTGAATAAATAGTAACTATCATTATTAATATTCATAAATGAGTATTCAACAACATCCAATATAGTGTTATAGTAATATATATTATGATAGTAATCGTTCTCAAAGATCTGGATTTTCTGTTCGTCGACCAGAAGTTCAGTAGATTGATTCACATTCAGACCACATTTCAGTAGATGATAAAAATCTAGAATTCTCATGATTCTAACTTTTTTCAAGTCGGCAAATAATAAAAAAAGTCGGCTAATAGTAAAATAAGTCGGCGTTCTCAATTTTGGGGCTTAATGATAAGACTAAATTTGTCTTCTTCTAGCCCCGGTCTTGTAATTATTTTTTTTATAAGTTACGACTGTAAATTTTTTTTTTTATCGGCAAAAGTGTAAATAAATAGAAATTAATTAATGGTAGCGCTATTCCAAAAAAAACGTGGATATTCCACATAAAAAGTGGATATGCACATCAAAGTAGCGCTATTCCATAAAATATTTTTAATGGTATCAAAACTTTTACGAATAAAAGGTACCAAAAGGTTTAACAATAAAGTTAAGAAAATAGTTAAAATTATAAAAAAGTACTTATAGCAGAGCATATCATTTTTTAATGACATCTTACATAGATGAGTTTTAGTATGATTGCTTCATTTTTTAAAAAACATTACAAACGTTAAATTAATATTTTATTTTGGTAATTATACTTATGAAACGTTGGTTTATCTAAATATAAAATTATCTGATGTTGTCTATGATTATAAATAACATTAAAAATGTCTTTAAATACATTATAAATATCTACTATATAGATTTTCTCCTAGTATTTAAATAAGTAAAATATGTCGTGTTTGGCTTGCCTGTAACAATAACAATAGTATTCTTTGTTTATCAGATATCTTAATCAATTCATCACCAAATCGCCATCAATTATCTATAAAACGTAAAGAAATAAAAAAACGTTTCTTAGTCATATGACAACTTTTGAGGCCAATCTTAAAGTTTTTTAACAATAATAACATTTTGGTAAATAATTTATAAAAAATGTCAGTAACTTCAGATAGAAAAATTTCTTTTTTTAACTTGTTTGCTTGTTGTTGTTGGATACTAAAAGGTTTAATACGTGGAACGCCCTAAATGTTAAGACCTTAAGAATTAGGTACCGTAGTACCGTCTTTTTGAAATAGATTGAAAAATATGATATGCAAATCTTTAAAATAGAACATGTGAAAATCGTGGTAAAATTAATAAAATAGTTGACCACATTTCTCCAAACTCTCTTATCCAAGGTGGCACCACCTTGACTTGTATTTGCAAAAATCCCATTATTCAAATTTGTTTTTGTAAAAATCAGTTATTTTTACTTTGTTTTAAATGGACGCAGCCAAAGTCATCGTAACAATAGTTACAATTCTTTCTACTATCTTCAACGCTTTAGCTTTGTTTAATCTATGCAAAAAACGTCGAAAAACCAATTACATTTTTTTTTGCATTTTTTTATCAGTAAGTGATTTGTTACAAACATTGCTTGGGTATCTGCCAGCTATTTTTTTGAAAAAAAGAATGGAAAATGCAACCAAGTGGTGTCAGATCAGTGCGTTTTTTGTAGCATTTCCTTCTTTTACATCGATTGCCTTGCTTACCGCAATAAGTTTTATAAAAGCATATTTAATAAATGAACATTTTTTGATTGGTGATATGATTTATAGAAAAGTGGTTAAGGTTACAATTTTATGTTGTTGGATATACGGACTGTTTTGGTCTACTTTCCCTTTAATTGGAGTTTCGTCTTACACACTTGAATCTACCAAAGCACGCTGTTCAATTAAGTGGTATACAAACACCAATACTGAAAAACTGTATTTAATACTACTTCTCGTGTTTTGCTACACTATTCCTGTTTCTATAGTTTTAGCTTCGACTATGATTTCTGCAAGATTTGTACGATCGAGTTTTAAAATTAGCTCTAGTTCTTTAGGGATGGGGGAGTCATTTGTCAAAATATTTAAATTAAGAGAAGCTAAAGTAAAATTTTCACTCACTTTAATGTGTTTGTCATTTATAATGTTTTGGACTCCATACGCAATTATTGGTCTTTTATCGGGATTCGCTCGTGTAAAGCATCCGAAATGGTTGCTTGAAACTGCAGCTTTGTTTGCAAAGTTATCTGCTATGGTAAACCCACTATTATATTGGCAAAAAGAAGATTTTAAAAAAAAAGTTAGGAAAGCATTTTTAGTTTTTCGTACTTATGTCTTCTACTCATAAAATTAAAAAAGGTATATTTGCGAAAAAAATGCAATTTTACATGGATCTTTACTTCAATTTAT